CAGGTTTTATTAATAGAATTTATACCAATGACAAATATCCTGCGTCCAGACTGAAAGCCCAATTCCTGTTTAATATGTACTTTGATGATATGTAATTGACATGATAAASTATGAGACTATCTGTATAGGGTATCCAATATTGAATCCATTGTAACTTAGTAGCCTTCTTAGTGGCCCTCAGGGAATTGGCGAGAGTCGTTAGAGAGTTTAAGCATCACGTTTACAGCAAACATCTAAGRGCAGAGCTGAACCAATGACCTAAGAATTTTCGTGCCTGAACTTGTGCTTTTGGTAGTCATTTGAAAGAGCGACCAATTTTCACGATTATGGCAACCCCAAAATACCCCACTTTAGCATCGAAACTGTAACGGGAAACCCAAAAAAGTAGGTCACATGATCTTTTCTAACATTTGCTGTGAATGTCATGCTTAAGCTATCTATTATCTGCTTGGCCTACTGCTAGTCAGGCTACTGAAAAGCTATTGTATAGCCCATTCAGATTTGGTGTGMATGCTTCAGACCTTCCTGAACTTTGATTCATTTACTTTAACTCTTTCATATGTTTTACTAAAATTTTAGAAATAAAAGTGAATCCAAACTAACAAATTCAGCCTAAACTTTATGTAAATGATAGGGATTGCTAATATTTTAGCAAGCCTGTTGAAGAGCATGTTACACCAACAAAGTCAACTCATGATTGCAAGTTTAGTTAAAATGATTCTGGTTTTCATATTGCTATTGAAAAAAGTAGAATGACCTGCATAGATGTCTTGATTTTGCAGACTTAATGCAAGTTGTTTTGTTATATTAAATAGGTTATATTTATATTCATTAAAGCAATGTATGTAAATTATTTTATTTTGACCCTGTAAGGTTTAATATTATTATCAAAAGTTAATATCATGCACTGTTATTTTCATTCATAGCCTAAATAGTTTCAAAATCATGTTTAATCATTAATAGATATTGTCATTAAGCTTGTATGGAATTAATTGCTAGAAAAAGTCTGAACACTATCTTTGTATAATAATTAAAAAGTGCACAATAAGAAAAAATATAACTGTAAAAACGTTAAATTTTTGCCATTTTATAAAAATGATTGAATAATTTAATTCAATTATGTTTACAAATTAAAATGTGACATTATTCGTTGTTAGTTAAATTGTTAGTTTTATTTATTGTTTTTTGTTAAAACAGTTTCTTATTTCAAGAAATAAAAGCACATTTGCCATTTATTTTACTACTGTTGAGGTTATAGAAATTTATAAAAATATTCCTTTTGTTCTTTCATTTACATTGCCACAGATTCWGGATTCTGGCTACGTGCCTGGATTCCAGATTTCATAGCTAAAATTTTGTGGGATTCGAGACTTTTTGTCTTGGGGTGATCAAAGGTTTCATTTCCATRTGTTGTAATCCCATACAATGACAATATAAGGTGTGATGTTTTTATGTCCAGTTTGGATTGTACATGTATGCATTTACTTGGGACAAATGTAGACCATGCAAAAAAAATTTTCCGATTTCTTTTACCAGTTTAAAGTTAATAATTGTTAACAGAAAATGTTAATCTTGTTTGGATTTTGGTAAACTTTGTTGAGATGTTGTCAAGGGGATGACTATAGATACAAAACCTGGTTGAAATAGACTGCATTCCCTAACTAGACCATACTAGTATGCGGATTTGCAGACTTAATTTGTGGAGGCATTTTGAATGTTTGTTCAAAATATATAATATATGATGTTTATTTTCTTGTTCAATTAGTCATGGTGTCAACGAGGCACAATTTTCGTGATTCTTTAGGGGTCATCACTTCAGGAATTAACTACTATTTAGAAGGTAGGATTGTCAATAACCCAGCAAGTATACATGTGAATTGCCTTTCACTGAAATCTTCCAGATTTTAATTGATTTCAACAGAAATTAGCATTTTACCTGATCAGACCTGGTCCTAGCTTGCTTGGGATTCCTGTGCTCTTTCTTAAATTGTGATGAATGTATTTCTTGGCCTAACTATCGGCACCATCACTGTAATCATGATTTGTGAGATCACCTTAACAAATAGCTTTACAGCTGTCATAGTTTTGTACGTTTCTTCCTTCAGTCGGTGTTTTGGAATAACATCCCATAAGCCTTCACGCAAATGTTTTCGCGCCAAAATTGAAACCCACGTGATTGAAAAACAAGATGGCGGACAAAACAACCTCGGAAAAGAGAAAGAGAGAAGTTGTGCCTAGAGAAGACGATAAAAGCGCTAAAACGTGCGAATCGGACGAAAGAATTGGAACAAAAAAGTGTAGGTTTCTTTCATGTAATTAGCTGCTGCAAGGCAAACGAAATCAATGATCTCTCAAATCAAGCTACAGGAGAAGAATGAATTTTAACATCTGAAGATATTGGGGGTTCTAAAAACCAGCTAAATTGAAATAGTATTAGGAGGATATATCTCACGTATAACAAATACCATGGTACTTTCAACGGGATAAACACATGAAAAACAATTATTGAAGAAATACGAATGAGCAGTAGTTTAATATCATTTGTAAATAGAAGAGAACAATTCAAGATRTCGTTTTTATATCTTCAGTAAAAACTCAATATCAAGAAGTCAGAGATGAAATAAAAGACAAGTTCAAGTTCGAGATGCCACAGGACTTTTATGATTTCTGGGAGTTTTGTGCAACACTGAATGCCAGCCACCCTGAAGGTAATTAGATAATCTCTCCTCTTTGACTGAAATTGCTGTCATTTCCTGGTTGTTCCTATAGGGGCGATCCATTAGACTTTTGAAGGGGGGAGGGGGAGTGGAAGATTAAAAAAAAAAATCCTGCAAGGCAAAATTTTGAAAAGTCTCCACTAAAGCTTTGTAAGTTTACAAAAAAAATTGCAAGCGAGCACCTGAAGTCCCCAAAAAATTCTTCCACCCTCCCTCAAACATCTAATGGATCGCCCCTTATTCTGGTGTTTTAAGCTGAATATTGAGATTGATCTAAAATATATTTTTTTGTAACATGACCATCCAATTCTTTAATATAATACTCTTATTTTTTTAATGTTTGTTATAAAATAACTTTTTCATTGTATATTACACAGTCAATACAACTAATGTTATTTATTTATTTTTATTTAGAGGCTCTAAAAGATACATTGAACTTAGAACTTGTAGGACCCTATGATGTATTTACTGGAAAGTTAAACAACTGTGATGAATCCAACATGACATCTTACCATTTGCATTGGCGGTATTACTATGACCCCCCTGAATTTCAAACAATCCTGAGGTCATGTGATGATGACAGTGGCTTTCACTTGGGGTATTTCAGGTATTAGTTTTCTATTGACTTTRGTTAGCTTTCTTTCTTCATCAACTCATATAACTTCTGAATATATTTTTCACAGAGATGAYCCAAAGAGTCTACCGGTATTTCTAACGTCAAAYGATGCAAATGTTGGTTGTGAAATGACAATCAGGGGGGACAATATATTTGGTGCTGTAAGGTAACAATAGAATGACTAGCTGTCAATCATCTGTTGAGATTCAAACAACAAAAGATTGGCAGTCTGTTAGTATAAAACAGTYGTCAGTAGATTCTGATGACAAATATTTTRCCAACATGGCTGYCATGTTATTAACTGAAATCATGCAATATTGGACTTTTCAAAACTTGGTCTAAAACTTTGGATAAGATGCTAGATCCTTCACTCTGCGATGTTTTCAGAAATGATCAGCTAAAGGCACATTTTCCTTGTAACSTTGTGTCTCAGTCTTTTTTGGTTTGAAAACTTGTTGGTTGCTAGGGATGGAAGGGRAGATGTTAGGAGACTAACTTCCTAATGCAAGCCAAAATCCTGCCAGATTATTTAAACTTAGCAATGTCCACTAGGTTATGTTGTTCAATTTTTTTCTTTTATTTATTTATTTATTTATTTTATTTTATTTTGTTGTTGTTGTTGTTGTTGTTGTGGACAAACACTAGATTGGATTTCTATTTAATTTGGCTTCTAAAAAGAATATTGCTGATATCCTCAACTATATGGTTCTTTCATCCACATTTTCACACATGCATGCATTTATTTTTTTCATTCATTCATTCGTTCATTCTTTCATTTCATTTTTCAAACTGTTGCGCAGCACATTTTTGTCTGAAACTCTCAAGAAATGCAAAGAAAAATCCAAGAAAGATTCTCTGAAAAACCTTCAAACCAAAATCACTAATAGAGGTAATGAACTCAACTACTGTTTGTCTTCACCAACRCCRAGCATCAAATCTAGAAATAAACTAGTCAACACCAAGACCTTCCATAAAGCAGGAATGGTTGTCCCAGTTGATGCTTCTGATGTTGGCTACCGGCCTTTGACAGTCACACATGGTGAGATATCCTTTGAATTTTTCAAGCAAAGTCAGTGTTTAGAATTCTAAACAATCACCAAACTTATATCAGATTTGTTTACTCTTCGATTTTTTTAGGAGAGTTAAAGAGAATCTTGAAAAAGATCTGCGATTCAAAAGGTGATAGTGAAGATGCTTCAGAACAACTACAAGAAATCATAACCTATGTACAGTTTGCTAACGATGAGTGCGACTATGGWATGGGACTTGAGCTGGGTTTGGACATCTTCTGTTTCGGTGAAAAGCGTTTTCATAATTTGATTCTTCAGTTAATGCCCTTAGCCTACAATCTGTTGGGAAGAGACCTGTTTKCCGAGATTATTGAAGTCCACATGAAATATCGCGATAGAGAAAACTTGAGTGTAATTACTTAAAACTTGAGTGTAAATTATCCTCTTTATTAGAAATAAACCAATTTTATAGCTAATAGCATTCGTTAGTTCGCCGTGATTCTTTGCAAATACCTATGATTTTTATACTAAAACAATCTCCAGTTGTTGCCGGACAAATTTTTTCAGAGATTGGTCAACTTTCTGCCAGACAACCTCTCCATTAAAAAATTTACTTTTTCAATCTCCATTCATTTTTTTACCACAGACTATCGAGTAGTTTTATCATGGGTTAGAAAAGAAAGTTCTTTTCAGTTCTGTATACGATAACAAAAAGTTTTCTTGTGTGTGTCGCTTTGCGCTCAACCTACCAGGACACGCGTTGTTTGGTAGAATATTTTAGCTGAAACTGAATTGTACGAAAACATTTATTGTATTTACAYGTTATTACTAAAACTAGAACAATTGCTCATTAAAAGTCTCTAATCCCCCAATAACAACACCATAAAGAAAAATAAACTTACAATGTGTATTGAACGTAACTGTGAGATATCTAAAACAGTGCCAAACTTCAAAATATTACTTTGAAAATCTCGCAATTATATCTTTGTGCAAATGAAATGTATTTAGATTCGCTTATTTTTATTTCAATCAATTCTCTATAATCAAGCGAAGGTAATATAAGCAAGGTAACTTAATTTAGGACCATTTTGCACATCTTGCGTGTATTAATATGGGATTAAATTACTATTGTTATTGGGGACACTATACTATTGAAAAACAAACATCAAATTCATAAGATAAGATGGTCATTAGCAAAAATGGTTTTCCKTCGCCACCATTGAATACACTTGAAACTTCTGCACTGTGGTATACATGACTATATTTTTTGAGATATTATCAACATGTAGTTGCAATTTGTAACTGACGTTTTTTTAACTTAGCAACTTGTCTTTGTATTGATTTCTATTGCTGCGGTCGTTTTGTGATCCAGCCATGCCCAAAGCTCGTTCATACCAAAACAAGGAACATAGTTTGTATTGCCTCTGGCTTTATTTTCTCCGTCCGCAATTATCTTGGCAAATCTGATGTACTATCACTCAAMACATTAGATGAAAATTCCAGATACATTTGAGAACGGAGAGTGTGATCCGGATGAGTGTGGTTARAGATGTCCCTACAAAAAGATTTTCAGATTCCAGATTTCCTTAGAAAAGTGATCGATAATTGCATGATAATTGAAAGGGTAAAAATATCGATCWTGTTTGAGTGTAGAACTTTGRTAGCAAATCGTTATTGTTATGAGCAGTGACAATGCCACAGCAATGCAACAAGCAATACCAACAGAAGCAATATTGATGATAGTGCTTAACACAATAACTAGACACGTGTCGCTCAAAACAGCATGTTTTGACGCTATTTTTGTTCTGAACACAAAGCATTGAAATTTGTCGTTTTGAGATGTAACCTGTGATTTCACTGCACTCCTTCMGTACTTTTGCGCACACGTCTGATAAGACGAGCACCTCTGCTTCCAAGTACCTCTATAATACGAACACTTCTATGGTACGACCACCTATATACTGATAAACTGAAGCACCTCTGATTAAATGCACCCTCATATTACGGATAACTGGTACAATACACTATCATTTCTCAGCTCAAGTACCTCTATAATACGAGCCCTTCTATGGTACGAAACCTCTGATTAAATGCACCCTCATATTACGGACACTGGTGCAATACACTGTTCTCAGCTCAGGTACCTCTATAATACGAGCCCTTCTTTGGTACGAACACCTATATACGATACAAGCACCGCTGATTACATCATGCACCCTCTTATTACGGACACTGGTGCAATACACTCATCATTCAGCTCCTCTTTGATACTGATAAAACCCCTTTGATACGACCAATTCTGTAATACGGGCACCTCTACAAATCGAGAATCTTTATAAAATCCCTTTGATACGACCACCTCTGTAATACGACCACCTCTTCGTTTAAATTGCTGGCAACTGAATTAGTACAGGCAACTATTTATGAGGAACCCTTCTACTAAAGCGGCGATGCAATTCTCGCCACTGACTTTTTTGTGCGTTTCGTTGCACAGATTAAAATGCAAAGCATTGCTGCAACGTGCAAAGCCATTGCACTCGCAATTTTCGCTGTAAGAGCATGGACAATTTCTCATTTCGTATGTCCGCCATCTTGATTTTTTGATCCGAGGTTACCTCGACAAAAAATATTGCAAGTTGCTGGGGGAAATTGCACAGTGTAAGAGGGGTWTGATTTTCAAGGCATCTTATGTCGCAACAGAGTTGTTAGTAAAACAAGTTTCTGACAAAATTGCATAGTATAGGGGTAGCTTAAAGGAACTTGGCATGTTCTTTTTTTCTGCGCTTGAAATTTCTATTTGCAGTGAAAGCCATCCTAGATCCCTTTAGGAGTAATATCTGTTGCCAGATTAGAAGCATGTTTAGAGAGTGGATCGGAGTTATCTTACTGCAATTGTCGCAATGTTTCCATTTTGTTCTCATTATTCCCTTTCATGAATTACTTTGAGAAATGCATTTCATGGTAAATCATGATTGCTCCGTATAGCGAGACTTTTCAACGTGATTTATTGAACTAATTAAAGTGATATCATACTGAGATCTTGAAAAAGTTATATTTGCGATAAGACTGGAATAAAAATTATGCATAAAAATTCATAGCCTCCGTTAGCAGACGTTCCGACGAACCGCTAAGAACGTCTACTTACGGGGGCTAAAAAATTCATTGGTTGAAAGAACATTTTTAATTTTTATGTTAAAACATCTTACTTGGGACACGAGGAACTAATCCCTTAAATATATTAGCAATATCAATTACATACATGGCAGCGTAAATAAAAGAGAAAATAATATATTATGATTATAATAAGCTCAAATTCTAGTACCATTTGAATTTGAATTTTTTATCATGGCCGATTTGCAAGGGCGAAATGCTGTATAAATTTTCAAATTGTATATAGTCTGAGGAAAAATTGCAAACTACATTGTTAAGTCTCTGACACTTTTTCWTATTGCTTATTGACTTTCGTTCCTATCTGGGACCAGTTGTATGATGTGTGAACAGCGTTATCCWATTTTTATCCTAAGGATAAATCCATTTAAWATCTATGGAGCGGATAACTTGGTCCTTCGTACAACCGGCCYGTATAGTGCGTTTTTCATGGTCCAGGTTTGGCAAACTTGCATCTGTTCTCTAACACAACTCAGTGACGAACTTATGTCTTTGTTATGCAGAAATGATCCAAAATATTTTCCAGCATTTGCCCCACACTTATGTTGGCCTTTTTGTTCTTTTTCTTGCATTAAAGACATCTCACACGTGYATCTCTATCGAACGTGAAATGAACAAAGACACACGACTAAACAAAAAAAAAACGAGTCATCGATTTCGTCGGTCTTTTTACAAATTACAACTGCGCGTGTTAGAAGTGTCAGTGAATGACCAATTTGATGAACTTCGTCTTTGTTCTCAGTTAACTTCAGCCACGCTCTCTGCTTGTCATCGGAGTAACTGCATTGTTTGAAAAACGTTGTTTTGTTATTTTTGGTGTCAGAAAGTTTGCTCATTTTGTACWTTGGATGCCATTTCACTGCRACACTAGAAATATTAAAGCAAAACTAGTTCAGTCGAGTAAAAATGATCTCTACTCCATTGGTAGGTATCGTGATGTCCTTAAGGATTACATTTCTTTTGTATCGCAAAAATGTAACTGAGCCACATTTAAAGACCCGGAACAAAAAACATTTTAAAATCACTTTCGGTATTTACCTTATCAGCTTTAGGGCTTTGTTAGTAGTTTAAGAACGAGCACCAGTTGGCACATGTTATTCACTTAAAGTACGAATTGATCGGTGATCATTGTACTGTTTAATGAAGTAACCGCGTGCCTGGTGCATCCAATGGTAAACCATTCATCGCTAAATCGATCGTCTTTTTGAAATGTTAACCTTTTGAAATCCAAGCCGTGTCTATAGACGAGCTGCTGTTTGTTCACGATCGAGCTAGTGGTCGCTAGTGTAAACACGATTTCATGTTGCAAATCAGCCTAGTAGTTGTATAACAGGGATTTCAATCCGCAGCTAGGCTTAGTAAGTTTAAATCGCCTTTGCAGTTGTTAGTTTTAACAACAAGTCAATGTACACCTGTAATAGCGCTCACGAAATACCAGTTCTATATTGGTGTCTAACAACGCGCTAAGAGAAGGGGCACCTTGGAAGAATAGTAAAACGTGCCGTACTAGTTTTTTTTTTGTCTTCATGGGTGGACGTTTTGTTTGTATGGTTTCAGATCAAGSCGTATACTGACAGAAATTCAGTCAGCTCTTTACAATGTTTTGACTATTTTWCTTATGTTGAAAACTTTGATGTTCAAAGAGAGTTGCTTAATCTTTTGACGGACATATAGCTTGATCTTTAGCCAATGAATAGCCCTTGGTTGTTTTGATTCATCAATTATGATAGYTCACCTTTCTAGCAACTGGTTGAAAATCATTTCTTTGCTTTATCTTSGCTTTAGAATTTCAAGATTTAATTCTTTTTTGGTGTTGAGAATTCTCAGTAAAAACCTATAATTCTGGACCAATAATTATATGTTTTGGTTGTATGAATGTGCGAGAAGAAGCCTTTGAATGGCATAAAAAGGTTAATGTTGTATTATTGTTTTCTATAATCGACAAAGAATAATTGTACGCTTTAATGGRTATTTTTATTACTTGAGAAGTTGTGAAAAGTACAAATATTATTATTTCATTTTACTTTTGTATATTTTGAAACCTAATTCGTATATATCCGTGCAAACAAGATATTCATGGTAAACTTTAATTGTTACAAAACTTTGTCTATCATTTGAAGCTATTATCGTCAGTTCTTGAACCTGCAATCTGCATGCAAAACTGTTGGAATATCCTTTATGTCAAAATTAAAGTTTCAAAGTTTGGTTTCCTGTGTTGTTTCAAGAGTGAAATGGACTTAATGATGTAAACGAAAGCGTTGGGTTGTGTCGCTATGCACGGTTTAGCTTGTCATAATCTATTTTATTTTTCTTGCCAAGTTGGGATTAATAATTTAGAAACTAAAATGTGATAATAGCTCCATTCAAAGACAAGCAGATGTTTCTTTTTCGACCCGTTTTTGCGTTTATAAGAATCAAAATGACCAAAAGACTTAAGAAAGTCGGTCTATATTATCCTACAGAAGAGCTCGTTTTTCTTTTCTAAAAAAAAAACGTTATAGAAAGGCATGGAAAAATAAATGCCAAACAACAAAAATATCACCATGTCGCAGCAGTCTTTGACAACATTAGTTCGCTAAATATCGTTCTAATCTAGAATATAAAATCAGACTTCTTTATCGTTTTTGGCAAACCATGAATATAATTTATTAGTTCTTCCCATTTKACTGAAAAGGATTTTTGATAAAGAATATCTGTGGATATTTATGCAATAGAAGTGTGCATTTATTGTCTATTTATACTAAATAATTTCAAATGTTATYAAATTAAATATTACCCCATAGAAATGTTTAATAGCCTTGGTTTCGAGCGTTTAAAGCGAATGAAATTTGAATTGAATTTTACCGACATGATRCAAACCGTTAATGGTTTATACCAATCCAAGGTGACCTGCAAAGCTAAATGTTTTTGTTAATAATTARGCTAATCTTTGTCGCATTTCGAAATTTTTTTTGCTCCATTGACAACAGATATTGATATTTTTGTGGCTTTACAATAAAACTCATCATATTCACCTTCCTCTAGATATTGATATTTTTAATGATTTTATCCGGAATTCGAGTTAACTCCAATAAAGTGTATTTCCTTGCCGGAAATTTCGCATCAAAGTAACGATGAATTAGTTACGGAATAGAGTCTCKCTCTTGGACCTCGACATCTGTTTGCGGAATGCATCCAAAAAGAGGTCGTTAGTTAGATTTTGTAGTATTTTTTACTGAAAATAACTTGCTTAAAACTTGGTATTATACTCAGCAAACATCGTTGTGAGTTTTGTTGGTAAGAAACTTTTTTCCTTCCAAGAACATGTCGTGTTTATAGCTGATGGCCGAATAATAGCGTTCGCAGCAAGAGTTTTCCATAAATGAATTATATATAGATCATATTAGTTCAAGATTGCCTTCATGTAATCATATTTTTGCACGGTTGTATTGATTTTAATATTGAATTTCCCCCTCCCCGCCGACGTCTTGTACGATCAGCCAGCTTTGCGCATTTTCAATAAACTATCAATTTCGAAACTGAATAGCTAGTTTTTTTTTTTCCATTCTTTAACCAATCCTCTTTAAAATTCAAAACAAAGTCCTTAATCCTAAACGTTGCATGTGAATCTGTGTGAGTTTCTTATTTATCAAGTGTTTGTCACATCATTTCGCTAACTCATCGAATATCAACCTAAGCATTATAAGCACTCGGTGGGCACGCTCCCACTTGATATAATTTACCAGAATAAATTTCTAATTTAAAGTCTTTTAAATCAAATATCGCAAGAATATTATATTGTTCAGTACTGGCTCTCACTCAGCACTGTCGTCATCAAGTTTTTTCTTGGTAAGTCTCTTATTTTAGAGTAAATATGGATTTATAGAAATAGACGAAATAGATCTTATAGGACTTTATCTTCAATTGTATCGAGTTTTGAAGGGTGGCTCATTTAAGTTCTAAATTCTGTCGCAAGTGACAAAACATACATACTAGTTTTCTAACTTTATCAATTGTTAGAACCACTTTTATGCGGGTGTAATGTTTTGTGGAATATATTTGGACAATGGAATAGTTAAATGAAATAGTTCCGTAAAAGACTCCTTGCCGGTCTGTATATAAAGAGACTTTCTTTTAAAAACAAAATAACTTTGTTAAAAATAGACTAATGCTGCTTCTTTTAATAAACAACTACATACTCACACTTAGAATCAAAATATGMCTCTATCTTAAACAAAAAATATCTTTATAAAGCGATTTTTCTGTCAGTAAACATGGGTAGATGAGTTAACTCAGTAAATTTGTTAAGTATGCCGATACACGTGTCAAATCCTTTACTTGTCGATAACATTTAAAATATTTATCGTGGTAAAATGTGTTTTGTTTTACTCGTGCAATAATATGAATTTTCAAGTAAAGTTCTATTAACGGTGAATTCTTACCACGAGTCGATATTAATACTCGATGAAATTCGATTTCGCAAATCAAAAATTTTAATCAAGAGTTTTTTTTTAAAAAAAAGGTTTCTTCTATTGAGTCGTTTATTGTATCACATTGATTAAAGTTCAGGGATTTATTGAAAAAGAAAGATTCAATAAAATGGCAAGTTTTTGTTTAAAGCTTTTGCTATGTTTCATCAAGTAAGTTGAATTGTGTTGCAAGTAATAGCGTATTAACACTTTTGGAATCTGACAAGCGTGTGTCGAAGTGTGCTGTTTTTTCAAACCCCAAAACAAGACATTTCGTGCCCAGCAGGTATTGGGTGTAGGTCAAACAAGCCCTCTTCATAACTGGATGTTCTCAACTCTGCTTGAATGCTGTCAACTAGTGTTGTAGTATTGTTTTGCTTGTCGTGTGGATGTGGTTTTTGTCCATTTTGTGTCTTCATTGTTCGCCATCTCGAGAGTTCATAAACGCCTTTGTTTCTTTTAATTTCTTTGAGTAAGTTTGTTCATTTTGTGTTCTTTTGTTCTTCTCAAACAACAACAGTTCTGGCTACATTTTGATAGAGACAACAGGCTTAGATATTTGGGTTTTCTGAGAGGATTCAATATATGAATATCATCACAGAAAGAGAACGCCGAGCGTTCCTTTACTAAGATCGGTCAACGCCAAGACAAGAATTGTTTAAAAACTAAAACGCAACTTCTTATTCGTGTTGTTTATTTTTAGACAGGCTAAGATGTTATAAAAGATCTCTATGAACTCCTCATAATTGTCCTAGACCAGAGGTTTTCAACTGAATCCTTCCCCCATTACAGGTGGAATAGATCAACATCTGTCCGAGAAAGGAACTCTTAAGTAACTCCCAAAATCCACGTATAATTAGCTATTTTGTGGCGCTTCAAAATCCACAGATGTCGTTGCTTTTCAGAAATTAAATTCTTCACTTTTGATTAACTTAGGTTGCGCCTTGTTTGTAGAAATCTTCAGCTTTGGAGTTTTGTATTAATTAGGAATATGCTAACACGTTTATATAAATAATCAAAACCCGCCTCGGGGYCGAGATAAACCTCTATAGCGCTTAAGATCGCCTGGCTTACGTTTAACCTTATTGTACTGAATCAAAGTCGTACAAGCTTATTTGATGTTTTTGTACTTTGTAGTTTTGAACGTTTTTTCATTATAACACCTCGTTGACGGCCGCTTTCTTTTTCACACGTGTTTCTCTCCCCTTCTTCCTTGAAACCTTAGTTTTTACACCTTCCCCCACAAAACATAATTAGCTTATTTATGGTTTATATTGTGTATTATTTTTCAATTCTTGATCGCGACTCCAATTTGAATGACTTGTTGGTCCTAGTTTGGTTCTTGGAGACCTGTCTTCCACATGCTTACGAAGACCAAAGATCATGTCTTGTTTATATAGCTACAATTGAACGGCTTTCAAACTAATTTTTACCATTTAATTTGTCTATTTTGTACTGTCATTATTTTCGTTTGATAACAGATATCGATCATTTAAAGTTTAAAAAACTAGACCTGTGATCTTCTACCTCTGTGTCGAGCAGTGCCATGCGGTACCTTTTTATATTACATGTAATAACGTTATGTTCAAACATTTAAAGAGTTATAATGTGATACTGCTGGTATAATAATGTTGGCCGTTAGATTATGGTTCATTAGTTTCGATGTTTGCTTAGGAATAGTGTTCAAGGAGTGGAAAATCGCTTCGATATTTACATCAGACCTTAGTTCATTTCCTAAAGGCAGTATTAAGACACATCAAGTTGACATAATCGTTTGCGTCTATGTCTCCGGACTTGTTTTAGACAATTATGAGCTCCAGTGTAGCGACATATCTGTGGTTCTTAAGTGAATTCTCTTGCATAAGCTGCTTAACGACCTGCAATCAAACTCTTTTAATGAAAACAAAAAAATGAAATAAACAAGACCTTTTGCGGCAAAAACTCGATCAACAYGCGTTACGATTGCTTGAAAGTTAATCAAATTTTAAGATAATATTAGGTTTACAGTTTTTGTTGTTTGTACTGCATTTGGCTGCAAATGAATCAGAGTATTGTGGGTGTATCATTGACAACAACTTAGCGTACAGTGGTTTTATTGAAAAGAGGTTTGCCATGTGCCTTGGCGAAGAGCTGCAACTATTCTACTCCCGCAGAGAGACCTTGTGTCCTTTATCTACAATGCGTGAAAACACTTGGAGCTATTTTCAGTTCTACAAAGATATAACATAAAGCTCAAATAACTGCACTAGAAAATGCGGGTAATTGCCGTCAAGTGGCTATCGATATGAAGAAAGTCATTTCCTAGATTGTTCAACTGGGAAATTGAAAATCACGAGTCAAAATTGACACAGAATGATCAAGTGCCGTTGTTTGTCTAGTTTGCAAACTGTATTGAATCAATTGATATTGTTTTATGAGGCGAATTCTAGAAAAAATATTATTTTTACAAAGTAGAATTAATCTTTATAGCTTCAAATAAAACGAGGCGTGAAAACTAATTTGTGGCCAATTCCATCACAACTAAATGACTCGAATTAACTTATTAAATGCCCAATAAAACAGGATAAGGTGAGCCTTGAATGCTAAATTAGTTGATATTATTTGACAACTCGACAAACTCTAATCGAAAAACCGGATCTGAAGATTTTCACTGAAACTTTGTTTGAAGTTACACAGGAAGTTGAGTTGACATGGTTGGCCAACATTGCGATGATACAATAGAATAACCAAGTAAAACCATCTAAAGTTAATTACTCGAATCTGACTCACAAAGGCTGATTGAATACAATTGAAATCAGGATTGCTGTTGGTAGGCAGGTGATACRRATTCAAGGGGTATTTAAAAAGAACATCAATCSAACARCATACTTCTATCCAGACAAGTTTTCAAAATATATTTCCTTGTAAGGCGCCGAGTTTTCTCCTGCCCACCTTGGACGTAATTTCCCTATTAGGATCTTGTGAGTTTGTGTTGGTAATTAAGTCAGGTTTAAAGTGTTTTTAGAGAAGTTTTGAAGTTCGTTCATTATTGATGAGTTCTATTATGTTATTCACAATAGTTTCCGTAATTTGGCAACAAGACCTACACGTGGGGCTAGTATTTAGCGCCGCATATATAGCAGCGTCACTGGCCCAGTCAAACATCACTTGTCACCGACCGGCATTGAGATCACTTCTCGAACAGAATGTCTTCCTCGTCCTTCTACATCGATTCACTGATTCAAGTCTCGAAGGCCAAGTCTGCAACAACAACAACATCAGACTCTCGACATCATCATGGTTATGAATCTCCCGTGCCTTGTTCTTGCTGCTGGAGTCCCACACAACCTGAACCTAATAGTTTATGTCAGCTCTGCATCCCGTCCAGTCCGGCCATGCATCCATTCATGCATGTAAGAGGAGCGTCTATTCCTGGAGGDGCTTTGTATTCCCGTGAACTCACAACTAAAGATCATCTTCTTCTGCAAAGATACCCAAGCAGYGAAGACGARCGAGTTCATTTAGCGAGTTACGGTAAGCCGCATTACAGCTGTATGATCTTTCYGTGATGAACTCTTAAATCATTGATGTGTCTTTCGTTTAACCAAGCTACCTATTTACACCCTTTTAAACACTTTTAATTGCAGTATCATCTCGTGAAACGAGCCCTCTAAGTCGTGGGAATTCAAGATCCAAACGAATCCGCACCGCGTACACAAGCATGCAGCTTTTGGAACTGGAAAAAGAATTTAGCCAAAATAGATATCTTTCTCGTCTAAGAAGAATCCAAATCGCTGCCTTGTTAGACTTGTCAGAAAAACAAGTTAAAATCTGGTTCCAAAACCGTCGTGTAAAATGGAAGAAAGACAAGAAAGCCGCTCAACACGGACAAACTACAGAAAATATGCCTGATTCTCCTTCAAGTTAAGTTAAGAACTTCAGAAYACTCTGATTACGAACCCTTAAACTACAAGAATTTGTACATATTGTAAAATTTGTATTATATGAATTGATTATTTGCTATAGATGYACATTATCGGTGACCAAATTTCACGATTCTTGTTTGATTAGCCCCGCCATGCACATTATAGATAACGGGCCGTGGTATGATTTTATCCAAAGTAGATCTGTAACAAAGCTTATGTTTGACGTCAAGATGAATTCTTTATCTTAAAATCATCAAGTTAACATTACTATTTGTAAAAAAATACATTTGAAAGTAATAAAATAATTGAGGATTAAAATGACTTGTTAAATGACTGGTATCTTTATATTAAAAATCCGGCAGCTCTGCCGCAAAACGCGCCAAAGTTTTTTCATTGTAAGATGAAAGRCTCAGTGATTTTGCTAATAGCGATAGCGTGTGCCGTAATAATCCACTGAAAGCCCGTTTAGATATTTTCTTTGTTTGACATGCAATCGGTTATTATTCTGCAATTTTCTCAACTAGGTTGATAGATTCTTGTTGGAACTATTCGGGTATTCAAAAACTGTTTTTTRACTCTAAGAAATYGCAAGTTCGTAAGCCGTTTTGTGGTAATTTTGAAGCACAGTGTTGGTGATGACCGCGAGAGATGAATAAACTGCACCTGTTTTTAGACGGTACAGGTGACGGCTTCAACTCAGCTCCTTKTTTTGTTCTTTCTTGGACGTCTCTTATAGCAACTGACGGAGTCAGCAATATAAAAGACCATCTCTTCTTTAGTAAACCGGGGTTTGATACATTAAATTACATTGATACGTTGACATTGTAACGCGATGAATGACATYTAACTCGATACAAATGAAACGACCAAAGTTTGCACAACATCGTTAATCTTCAGAATTTAAAACTGCTTTAGAAAATAAGAGGCAAACAAGTMATTCTGAAATCGTTCTCTAATGCTTCTTAATCAAAACAATTAAAAGTGAGATTCAGGGACCACTGATRGGTGTACATGTTCCAAAATGACTGGTACTTCGCCAGCACTACTCGGGTTTCAAGCCAAGCAAATGTTAAATCTCGATCATTTTTTTTTAAAGAAAAACAAAAAAAATACGCTCAAATTGAAGTTTAAAACAACAACAGGGTTTAAAGTGGGGAACAATGACGAGTTAATTCACTTATTTAACGATCGTTCTTCAACAGCTACAATTGTAGGTGCCGTGAACCGTCTCGTATCCCATAATCTTTCTCTAACGTGTCTAACAATAACCCGAACTTGTCAAAGAATAAACTAGAATACCCATATAGTTCGAATACAAGCTAAAATTTCTTAACCTTGGTTTGATCAAAGACCAACCCCTGGTGAGGGATTTTCCATTATGTTAGCTGGTCGTGGATCGACCTGCTTTCTATAACTTAAAGGTCTTAATTCTCTTTTATAACCATTATAAAAATGCTTTACCACGCGATGCCGCAGTAGTTCTTGAGATCGCCTCATCCATAAGCGATCTCCTTACAATTGAATCCGCTCAAATTAAACGAAATTTCTAGGTGGTAATAATAGATAATTTTACGTATCCTCATTGTCATAATATGTTAAGCATAATCTCAATTTGACCCTCGTTGTGGGTGTTTAAACTGTTTTTACCCTCTTAATTGTTTGTTATCAAATTTGACAAAATTCCTTAATTTTCAGGGAAAATTGCCGTGAGATTTGACTAATAAGTCTGGATGAGAATGCATTCTCTAATTAGTTGAGAAGAGGAATCACTTGGGGTGTTAATCTAATTATCGATTTTAACCAAAACAAAGCGAAACTCATCGCCATTAAATGTCTCATTTATCTGTATTTTCTCTGTGTATTTCGTTGATAAACAAAAACATCTCAGTCAAAGAATCAGCCTTGAGCTTTTCAATTACCTATGGCCGCTTTTACTATTACAAAAAGTACAAAAAGATGTGAATATTATAGCCTATTAACCTACATCCGTCGTATTTGATGCCCGTTAGCTTGAGCTGCTTTTAACAACTTCCTTAATCTGCATGGGTCTTGTGAAACTAGCCAGCAAAATGAATGTCAATAACCCTGAATTCAAAGTTTGTTTTCTTACGCGCCCAAACAACTTAACATTTTTATTTAATTAGCGAAATGGTTCTTTATTAAATTTTCATTTTATTTTCAATCATTGATTGACGCGAACTCACGCTCGCTATTGGAATAAAAAAGCATTTTAATTGCTAGCTTTTGCTTGAAMGMTTTCATGCRATAAATTCAAGTCTACGATTTTCGTCTTATAAATGTAGATGATATCATTGCAAAATCTCAAGTTAAAAACCTGCCAGAGGTTGTTTAACAGAACAAACATAACAAGGATTATTACCAAATGTAAAACGAACTAATCCTTCTTTCAAAGAAAGATACTACTGCACTCAAAAAAACCCGCGTCTCTGTGTCTGTTTTCAAGTGTCTTTTTATTTCAAGGCAGAATTTCTGATGTTACTCTTAAATTAGAAAATCCTTCATTTTTAACGACACTGAAATATAGCATACAATGTCCTTTAGCATTTCTTGAATTAGAAGAGTGAATACAAAGCGAACTGTTTAATGATGGCGTGTGTTTGGGTCGTGACAGGTGTAAAGACTTCCTGCAAAAACAGTCTCAAAGGCTCACGGCAAATTGAGCAATGAAGATCACTTAAAACCAAACCTTTCAGATTAAATTGCCTTTTTACTCGAATGGAAGACTCGTGACGTCTCACGGAGTTAAGTGAAGTTTAATTTGCATGGATAATATCTAATTGGAAAATCSTGTCAGTGTTTGCTTGAAAACAAACCTTCAGAAGTGAATTCAAAGTGGGGAATTTTCGCTATTCAGTATTTTGATGAACTTTGATTGGTATTTTTTGCGATAACCGTTAAGATAATGACAGTGATAATCTGATAGATAATTCGCACCTTTTTCACTTTATCAGTCGGGTTTTGTGCTCAAGAAGAATAGGTTATGGACTGTAAAACACAATTAGCAAACTCTATTTTACTGATAAACAGTGTTTGTCCAGTATCGTTTGATTTTTATCGCTCAAGATASCAYTGAATGGTTCGACACTGTAGACATCTAATGAGCGATTTAAACCAAAATGAATGCCAATTGAAAATCGATTTGGCGTGAAAATGAATCAACTTGAATAATGTCAACAAACGCTGGAGATTTTTCAATTCCCAAAACCTTTAACTTAAACACAAATTAAAAGCTTTTCTCGAAGCCAAATGAAAGTTTAATTAGACCAAGGCTGTCTCTGTGSTGTTAATACTAATAGGCAATGCACTAGCCTGAWATGTTTTATGTGGAATAAATACAAGCCTAGCGACAGGTGAAGCGATGCTTAATTTGTAACAGAAGAGCAATAGATTGCCTTCCGGTTAAAGAACCTCGAATTACTTCAATCATATTGAACTTTTCATGAACAATTTTAATTAGGCAGAGGATAGGCGGAAAGAGGTGTCAAATATATTTGTGTCGTACGATTTGAAATGGCGTAATGCTCCATCTAGCGTCTGCAAATCTATAGAAGAGTATCATTTTGATACTTTACAACCATTTAAGCTATCAAAGGTCATTTAATGTATCGCGATAACCAACAATGGCTCTTTTGACTGTCAAAGCAGACTTTTATGAACATCTTAAGCGCTTATTTGGACAATCTCTCGGCTCGACGTTTTCCAATTTCCGTTTGAGGCTTTACATAACTCCGACACTTTCCTTTGAAGTCGTTTTAGCTTTACGATATTCAATTTCGGATATCRCCTTATTATAGAGGGCGAGAAAAAGAAATGTACTTTGCTTCTGGACTGAGAGCTTTCCGATGGATCACGTCCACAAATGAACAATAAATGTGTGTCATACCTAGACTAGATGTCTCTTCTCCATTTTCCTTCCCTCCGATTTCCTATAAGTCTTCCAATCTTTTTTTTAGAAACTGACGACAGTTGATCTTTAATAACTTACTCACTCAAAGCACGCATGTAGGTATWTTTTCGCGTCTTTTCAACCATGTTTTTCTTTCTCTTCTTTTTCTTTTAGAGTCTCGCTTCTGAGAGGTGTTTCTTGTCGTTATGGAAACAAACAATTGGAATGCTTCGGAGTGAAGGTTTTTTAAACACCTTTTGATAAAAAAAAACACAGTGTTTCTGCAGTACGATAAATGAAAAAGAAAGAAATGATTAAAAAAATGATTGTGTTTTTGAAATACCATTCTWGCGTATGAGAAGCAAAGTAATGGAGATGATAGTTTTCAYAGATATTTCGGCCTTATTCGTGACGTTCTCCCGGCTTCAATATATGTTTTGTTCCGTTGTCCTGGTCCTCTAAGATCCTCTACAATGACTGTTCAGGTCTCTTCGTMTATGGACGTTGAAATTGAATTGAATTATTGGCTGTTTTTCTTTTCGAATTCTGTCAGAAATTGTAATTAAGATCATTGTCCTATGGTCGATAGTTTAAATTCCCCTTCGTTTGAATTCAGTCTTCGACAGATTATCTGATCTTTGGGCATGTAACTTTATAAAGGTATCCTTTGATGGATCTAGAATTCTCAGACAATGGCGTGCCCARCACTCTTTAGAGCTCTGACAAAGCCCGTTTTAGATRCCGCCTCACTAGTTGACGTGGAGGTCATCTCAGAGCAGCACTCACTCATAAGATGTATGGACTATGAAAAGTGAAAATCCCGCCAATGTTCCTCCATTTTACGCTATGTATTTTCKATGACCACGACTGTACAACTATCACATATCAGACATCGGCACAGAACTAAACACTCACCACACAAAATRAGACTCAAAACAGTATAAGTGTATTTGATTTTTTAAAACATATCGSTTACTGACATCATGATGAAGGAAGGATACTAACACGGTGACTGAACGATGAACGAATGATACTTTTAAACTGTGGGCGGCGAGGGAAAGGATTAAAAATTTCAAGCAACCGTAAAAAYTATTGAAAGGGAATAGTAATGCACGAGAAAACT